AATTTCAATTTTCATCAGAAATAGGTCTTTTCATCGCCACAAGTTGGAAGGTCACAGAGATTTGTTGGTTTTTGTTAAGTACTACTCAACTTTTTTCTCTGGGGAGTAACAGTGAAGGTTCAAGACACTTGAAAAGTGGAGACTACACCCCTGTTCTTAACATTTATTCAGCAAACAGTTGTGGAGCGCTAACTGTTATGCCAGTTCTGTTGTGGGGATCAAATCCGAGACCCTATCTGCCTTTGTGTGTTTATGTTCCATTGTAGGAAGATTGACCATAGACTGAATAAAACAGTAGATTAGGCAGCTGCTTAGTTGCGAAGGAGGGAGTCTTTGGGTGACACAGATAGTTAAAATGCCCAGCTTGTAAATGAAAGGCTGAGCTTTGGAACCCATTTAGTGCTTCTGTGGAGGAAAGGCTTGATGGCATGCTACCCCAAGATTGTACCTAGCAACTGTCTGGAATAGTTTTGCTCCCTAACACTTGGCGTTGCTTTGAGTTGGTGACCGCTTCTATGGCAGCAAACAACTACAGCCAAAAGGAGAGAAATAACACGTTGTTGCTAAGTGTTATGAGTTGTGGGTAACTCATAGCGACCACTCCTGCCTCCAAGCTTGTTTTAATCAGGGAGCTCCACCAAATACTGCCCACCATGGGTAACCATTCTCACATTTGACTCATCAGTGTCACAGTGTTTGGCTTCACAGCAGCCACAGGTTACCTCCATACAGCAAGTAGACATACAGATTTACATGACCTAGAAGAATGTTTCACACACACACAAAAAAAACACAACAAAACAATTAAAGGCAGGCCTGAGGGCCGCAGAGTCAAGTCTCCCACCTTGACTTGGAGCATGACTTTCTCTCCACTGGCCAACTGCTCTCTTTCTCTATGTTGTTGTTGTTAAGTGCCATCGAGCCGTAGGTGACTCATAGTGACCCTATGAATGAAAGTCCTGGACACCTGTCTAACTCTCGTCCTTTCTCCAGGTTCACAGGGTTTCCAGAGGCAAGTTATTACAGAGGACAGGAAATGGCTGGGAATATGGGAGAAGCAATTTAGACTTGCTCAGGGTCTTGTTCAGAGAAAGTGAGTCAGGACAAGCGTCCTTGACACCTGTACCCGTCGTATGTAGAGCTGGGAGCCCCACAACCCTCAGTGTTGTAGTTTTGTAGATAGATGTCCTTGTAGATGTTTTGTGGAGCATCTCTTTGCTCTTCTTTCCCAGCCACTCAGACATCCTTTCCGAGTGTGTATGGTTTTCCTGGGTCCTGGAGGGACATTGGAAGCTCACTGGTAGAATTCTCTCCTTCCACGTGTGTCAGCCAGGATTCCCAGGCAGTGCACCCCACGCACAGCTACCATCCATCTCCCCATGAAGATTTGCACATTGTTATGATGCTTTGAGATAGAACTTTCAGACTAAGATGTACTAAGAAGAAAGGCCCAGTGATCTTTTGCTGAAAAATCAAGCCATGAAAATTTTATGGATCAAAGTATAAATTAGATATAAGGCCAGGTAGAGCTACCATCTGTTTCTGCAGCGATGACAGATGGACCTCTGAGTGTTTAAGGAACTTGTCCGAAGACAGCAGAGTAGATGTATGAGTCACAATTCCATCCCCCCAATTAACAGCTCACCACTCTTTTTCTCCTCCATGATGCCATTCTAGCTCACAATGCCCCAGCAGCGGTCATTCATCTCCAAACATTGATGGTTGTCAAAGGTAATTTTCTGCACATTCTGAACCTTTAACGTAGTCTTACAAGCGTGCTAAGCCCAAAATGTTTCCTTTGCTTGTTTCTCTTCTTGGAGTAAGTGAAGTTGTTGTTTTCTTCTGCTAGTTGCTCCCAGCCTATCCCACCGGTGGATGTGCAGACACAAAACTCATCGGTGTCACCGTTTGGAAAACTAGTGGTTCAAAGTGCAATCGACTCCAGCACATTCAAGCACAATGGCACGTTTAAGTGTGAGGCTTACAATGAAGTGGGCAAGAATTCTGCCCATTTTAACTTTGCATTTAAAGGTAACAACAAAGGTATATTTCCTTTTAATCCAATTTAAGGGAATGTTCAGGCTCTGTCTGCCATATCAATCATGATTTTAAGCCATTCCATCATTGACCATGCCATTTCTGGTAATATGTATGTTGCACGATGCCGTCATCAAACTCGCTATGTTCCATTCTATACCATCTTATTAATAAACTGTATGCTTTTATCAGTGTAATTTTAACCATGTGCTTTTATAGATTTCTTGTATATATGCATGTAATTGGATATTTCCAGTTGCCTCTATTAAAAGGGGTGGAGAAAGCAAGGAAGAAGATAGATTTACTTTATGCCCAGATGGAATTAGGGACAATTTAAAATTCACATTCACTGTAAAATTTCAGTTATTTCAAATGAATTATTTTAATGCATTTGCAAACACTATTAGGAGAAAGTTAACACTGCCTTTTAGGAAGTCATGCTAGGGAGCTCTTGCTTGAAAAACCTCTAAACTTTGAATCATGAGTGCAGGGCTCTTCAAACAGATGCTAAATGGTCCTTGAGGATGAATTTGATGAATTGGTACAAAGAAACTGGGCCCGTTGGTTTTTAAGGCTTAGTTTTTGTTGTCTCCATTTGGCAAGAACTAGCGCCCAAAGTGATGTATTTTCAGTGTATGAGTAATGAAGGAAAGATTCTTACATTGTCCTACACCATTCATTTGGGGTTTTTTGCAGAAAGATCAATGAAAAGAGTACTTTATAGGTGGGGGAGTGAAGGAAATTGAAAGAATCTGTTCTGGAAAACAATGTATTCGAATTTTGTAAATAAACTAGTATAATAATAAAATAAAATTAAATGAAATTTTAAATATGTTTTTTCTTATGAATGAAATATATGCACATTGTAGGGGGGAGGGACCCCAAATTGTGAAAGTGCAGGAAAGTGGAAAGAATACCAAAAGGAAATTTCTTCCGAAGTTGTCCAAGGCAGGAAATTTTTGGTTCAAACACATGTTCCTGGCAGATGTTGTTTTTCATTGAAAAACGGCATAAAATTATTGTTGTGGTACCGAAATATCCAGTTCTCTTCCACAGTAGTTTGGCTTAAAGTTATGTTTTACAGGGTTCATTTGCATAACAAGAGTAAGCTGCTAACAAGTCAGGGATAATATAGATCCACACAGCTTTGCATCTGGCCATGGGCTTTAAGTTGATGGGAGGTGGGTGAGCTGGGGCTGGGGAAAGGAGCCACGGTGGTGGAGTTGCTAGAGTGTTATTTAGACTGCTAACCGGAAGGTCTTCAGTTTGAATCCACCAGTTGCTCCTTGGTAGAAAGATGAGATAGGCTGCTTCTGTAAAGATCTGGGGCCTTGGAAAACTCATGGGGTAGTTTGCTCTGTCCCACAGGTGGGTGTGAGTCTGAATCAAATCTAGCAGTGGGTTTGGTTGTTGGCAGAGACCTACCCCTGCTGAGAGTTTGTGATGCCACATTTCTCTCTCTGTTTTTAGAACAAATCCAGTCCCACACCTTGTTCACACCTTTGCTGATTGGCTTTGTGATTGCCGCCGGTCTGATGTGCATCGTCGTCTTGATTCTTACCTACAAATATTTGCAGGTAACCATCTGTCTGCAGCCTGTAAGCCAGCCTGCAGTGGCTGAGAACTAACTCAGCAGAAGGTAACATTTACCTTTTCTGTTCTCTTTCCCAGAAACCCATGTACGAAGTGCAGTGGAAGGTTGTGGAGGAGATCAACGGCAACAATTATGTTTATATAGACCCAACTCAACTTCCTTATGATCACAAATGGGAGTTTCCCAGAAACCGGCTAAGTTTTGGTCAGTATGAAGCAGGGACTTTCCATTTTGTGGGCCCACAACAATGACTTCGGGAACCCCACTCGCTTCCTTTCTTTCATTCCACCTGAAATAATAAGTGTTTTTGGTGAATTTTTAGTGCTTTCGACAGATTGGGGTATAAAGCACATTACTGATTGTCTCCAGACACACTTGCCTTTATTTCCTTTGTTGATTCTGAAATGACGCAGGGGCTTTTCGGTCCCCTTCTCTGCCTCTACACTGCCACTTAGCCTGCTGTCCTCCTTATTAAAGGGAAAACCTTGGGAGCAGGAGCGTTCGGGAAAGTTGTGGAGGCTACTGCATATGGCTTAATCAAATCTGATGCGGCGATGACGGTGGCCGTGAAAATGCTGAAACGTAAGTTCATGTGGGACACTGTGTGTGCTGACCATTGGTGTGCCTTATCTTTTGGTTTGTTTTGCTAAGATCAGATGCTTCTAATTTTAGCAAGTGCCCACTTAACGGAACGCGAGGCCCTGATGTCTGAACTCAAAGTCCTGAGTTACCTGGGCAATCATATGAACATTGTCAATCTTCTTGGAGCATGCACCATTGGAGGTAAAGTCATGTCTGATTTGCCTGTTATTTTCAAAAGAGGGATAATATTAAGCTCTTTTGCACAGCACTTGATGATAAACCCATTGTGTGATTTTTAACCAGGTTTTTGTTCTTTCTCACTAAATGTACTTTGTAAAGAACTGTTGTTCTTTGGAACTTCTAGTAACACAGTGGATTAAGTATCGGGCTGTTAAGGGTGAGCTTGGTAGTTTGAATCTACTGGCTGTTCCCCACAGTAAAGATGAGGTAATCTGCCTTGGTAAAGATTTACAGCCTTGGAAACGCAATGGGGCATTTCCTCTCTGTTCTGTAGAGTTGTTATGAGTCAGAATCGGTTCAACAACAGTGAGAATTTAAGACAGCAAGGGCAAGGAGATGTGTGTCCCTGAATGGGGCAGTTTGTGCTTTGTTACTAATCTGAATGTTGGCAGTTCAAACCCATCTGTTGGTACCAGACTCCACAGAAGAAAGGGGCTGGTCATGTCCTGCTGTCCAGATTGTTAAGTGCTGTCAAGTGAAAATCCACTCACAGCTGACCCTCCAGTGGGTTCTCAGAGGCTGTAAATTTCATGGGAGGAGATTGCCCATCTTTATCCTTCAGAGCAGCTGGTGGATTTGAACCACCTGCCATCAGTTTGGCAGCACAACCCCTTCCTCACTGGGCTACCAGAGCTCAGAGAAGAAAACTCTGTGGGACAATTCTACTCTGTCACGTGGGTTGACGTGAATCTGAACTGACTTATTAGCAATGTGTTTAGGTTTGGGTTTTTGCTATTGTTCTTAAAAATGTAGATATCAGTTGGTGGAACAACTTGAGATGCACCGTAGTTTGTGTCCTGTGTCCCACATTGGCAACACTGACCGCCTGTACCTACTGAGTTGGATTCTAGGCTAGACAGCCTATTTTTCTACCTTGCAGACATTTATGTGTGTCTGGTTTCTATTTTGTCACTCAACAGTTAATGCTGGTTTGCTCCTTGTAATTAAAAGAATACTCTC